GAATCATTAGCTTATACGGCTGTTTCGACATTTACTATAAATTGAAATGGACTTCGAATGTTTCAGGTTAGTGCTATGATCAACTTGAAGACTGAATTTTAGGGGTCTTTGAAACGTTCAGGCGTAAACATAACGAGGAGCACCGTAAAATTGTGAGCCAGAGTTCAAAATAACAGCCGGCTGGCGGAGGTAGCCCGAACTTTTAGCACACACTTGACGGCGATTTTTCACCAAAGAACTAGAGTTTTATAGAAAATATTATGCTCATTGATAGTCCGACTGAAATAAAAGTCGTTGTCATCTTGTAGTGAACTTTACATATCAGACAATCTGGAGGTGAATAGATTGCATAATTTGAGTCCTTTATTGTCTGATCTGTGGTACTAGTTGACTGAAAGAACAAGTTTCGGAAACAATTGACTGAATATTTGGTTTTGTTTAAAATATGATATTAGGATACTGTATACAACCCATTAGGTGCCAAAGTATCTAAAGACACCTTTAAAAACGTAAACAGGGGGCATCTGCTGTTTTTGTTGTGAGTAAATGTACTAATTTAGTGCTCTTAGTTTGAAATGGTTGCCAGAGCTCAAAGGACGAAAATTTTTTAGTGGAAATGACGCAAAAAGAGTTGCAAATGAATCTGAATATAAGAAAATCACATATGTGCACAGAGGTTTCATGAAGTGTATGAAAGCGATCCTCGCAGTAATGAACCCTACGGGATTCCGGTACGGGATTTGAACCCATGACCCCTGCGATACCGTTGCAGTGCTCTACCAACTGAGCTAACAGGCTAACTGGAGCTGGTCATTATGTTGGTTTGTGTTAAACCCGTCCAAGTGATAACAATGAATTCGATTAAATGAAACTCATCATTATCTACTGCAGCCTCATGAAATGTATGAAAGGGATCCTTGCAGTAATGAGCACTACTTATGTAGCAGTGGAAATAAAGCCTGGAAAAATGACCACCTACAGTTGTCTTGTTAGTTGAATTGTTAGAGCACAGCACTGATATCGCAGAGGTCATGGTTTCAAATCCCGTACGGGTCTGGATTTCTTTTTTTTTTCTGGCCTTATTTCCTTTACTACATAAGTAGCATTCATTACTGCGAGAATCGATTTCATACGGTTGCAATTGAAGTTTGGATCGAATATCTGTGT